GTTAAAAGAGTCTTTGGTGATGAAGCCAAACAGAAGCGAGTTCTAGACAGCTCAAACGGTGTGGCCAGAGATATCTTTGCAGATATAAAGAAATCAGTAAGTTCGATAGTTGACATATCTCTCCTAAAGAACGACAAAGACCTGAACGAAGACTGCGGCTCTGATTTCATAAAAAGCAAAAGAGAGCTGCCTGCAGGCATTTCCGCAAGCACAAGCGAATCTGCATCAGAGGGAAAAAAACTAGCAATTAGCACAGAAAATGGCTCACTAGATGGAAGCACGTTCCTGTGTGCATTTGATGGAGATGCGGACAGAATGATATATTTGAAGCCGTCTTCCAATCAGCTGATAGATGGAGACAGACTGTGCGTTTTATTTGCTTCTTTTCTGAACCATCTTTTGTCGCTTTCTAATGTTAACAGCGAGATCACCACTGTGGTAACTGACTACACAAACGGCGCTGCAGTGTCTGAGCTGAAGACAAAGGGAACTGTTAAAGTCGCTGGAACAGGCGTGAAAAACATGCAAAAAGCGTCGAATAATGCCGTTACTGTGTGGTTTGAGAGCAACGGGCATGGAACAGCCTGTTTTTCAGGAGAGATATACAATGAGATCAAGAACAAGCTGGGGTACAGTGAAAATATTTGTCTTTTGGACATGCCCGAGTCTGCTCTGCTCAATGAAATGGACCAGCTGCTGTGCCGGCCCTCCACCACGCTCTCAACAAAAGATCCGAGCAAAAGATCACCTTATAACGAACTTTTTAGAAAGCTAACAGAGCAGGAATCATTATTGCTACTGCACTCTCTAAGTGATATATTTGATCCGTACATAGGTGATGCGATTGTAAACATGCTTATCAGCGAGTGTATATTCTACAGCGGGTTTGTGCTGCCTGATGTGCTGCTGGGCGTGTACCAGGACATGCCCAATCTTCTTACATCTGTTGCGGGAAGAAGAGACAGATTGAATGAGCTGCTTATTCAGAGCATAAAGGCAAACTATTCAGATGCAAGAATTCATTTGCGAGCATCCGGTACAGAGGATATTATACGGATATACGTGGAGGGAGAGTGCGAGGAAAAACTGAGGAGCATAGTAGAAAATATAAAAATCACACTAAGCGAGCTGTAGGTAGGGAATAAAACACACTTAAACTCGTGTTTTTCTATGCTTTATTTTTATACAGAGAAATCTGCCTGTAAATGAATTGCAGTGCAGAAGTGCATTTATCAGTTGAAAAATTACCCTTTTGGATCTGCTTTCTGTGCAATATTTGGTGTTTACTTTTAAATCTAGTCTGATCATCTGGCATACAGGTGGCAGATCATCTGCAAGAGTTGCAGTTTGCTCCAATTGAATAAATTTTCTGTGTTTTACTAAATTTTATCTTTATGAACATTTCTGCCGTGGACACGTACAGAGACATTCTGAAAAGCAATGTGCTTTCTTTATCGTCTGCGCCCATTGAGTCAGTGGATAGCGTGGTTATCTCGATCACAGATCTAATATCAGACGCCAAGGACATTGTTTTCTCTCCTGACGAGTTTCTGTCTCTCATTTCGCTTTTCAACCAGAGGCCAACATACTTCATTATTGTTTCTATTTTCAAAATACTCCTGAAAGCGAAACTAGACACAGAACAAACCCTTTTATTTCTTAACTGTCATCAGAAACAAAAATCAGACGAGGGGCCGTACTCGCTAGTCAACTGGTCATTTCTTGAAAAGTCTGTGGCCATAAAACACACATTCATAACGTTTTTGTGCAAGCTGGTGCTGAACAATAAAATATCTGAGTGTAGGCTGCGTAATGCACATTTATCTGCAAATGAAGATGCAGGGTCTTCTGTGCAGAACTCCACTGGCGCAAAAAGAGGCAATTTGTGCAGCGTCTCTTCATTTGACGTGATACAAGTGCTTTTCTTTCTCTTTGACGACGAGAATGCAGCTGTTCGACTGAAAAGCTATGAGTGCGCGTGCAGGATAATAAAGAAAGAGAAACAAGGATGGAGCAAAAAAGAAAGAAAAGCCTTCAAAAGAGCGCTAAAATACTTTGGTGCAAGTAGCCTGAAGCTCCTTAGAGAAGAGTACAGAGATAAAGTGGAAAAGGAAAAAGAAATAAAGGTGAGAACAACCAAGCTCAGACAAACCACAAAGATACACATAAAGATGGGCCAGAAAATAAGAAAAAAAACACCTGCGATCAGAATACTCGATACAAAGACCAACAAGTGTAAAGAGATTATCACCTGTCGTAAAAACACAATATTCTACATAAAAGAGCAGCAGTCTATTGAGCTCACAATAAGCCACAAAGAAAAGGTTTTATTTGAGCACACCTGCTCATCAAAAGGAACACTTTCCTAGCACAAAAGCACTTACACTCTGTCTATGTGTTGCCAGCTGCAAACTACAATAAAACCAAGATAAAATTTATTAAATATGTTGTAATTCCTCAACACAGTATGATGTAAACTACGAATAATTTTCTAAATAAAATTTGTGTGTTTATTGTTTATTCTTCTTTCTTATCCTTTGGAGCAGTCCTGTCCTCTGCATGCTCTTTGGCGTAGTGTGTCTGTTTGCCCCCGCTGTTCATTATATGCATTCTTTTGAACTGGAATTCGAGCGCAGATATTTTTTCTTTTATAAGGGATGAATGCTCTGCCTTCTGCGGCTTCAGCTGCAGAGACTCTTCGAGAGGCTTCTTTGCGCCGTCTAAGTTTGGCTTTCTGTACTTTTTGTAGTATATATTTCCTTTTTTTGGGATTTGAAGCTTCTTCTGGGACTGCTCTTTGAATCTCTTTTTAAACTCTTCGCTGGACATCAGATCGTCTAGTATTTTGCTGCTGTTGCGTATTTTGTCGTCTGGCTCTAGCTTTCTTCCTATTCTATTGAGTATGGTGCTGTCCATAAAACCGCCCCCTTAAAACTGCGTATAAATTCTGCAACCCCTTAGCATTTGTCCAAGCTCATTTTTACCAGAGCTGCATCCTAGCTTTACTAGAGCATGCTAGACTGAGCAAGTTTGTAAAAACTCTATAGACAGTTTTACTGCAGAATGTTTCTTGGACTTTAGCATTTTCATTTTTCACTGCTCTACATTATGTGCCAAAAGGATAATTAGTGGCAGAGATCATAAGTGATAGCAATCACAATCAAATAGAAAGTATATTTAGTTTTGCTTTTTTTCGTGTAATGAGAATTGGAAAGATAGCAGTAGTAATTTGTGTAGTTCTAGGAACGTATACTATCAATTCTACCATAGAAGAAAAGAAAGGAGAGATTGAAGAAGTCTTCAATGCAGTCCAGATGAAGTCTTCAGAAGACGAAAGAGTTATTATGTTGAATCCAGTAGAGTTTAGGATAAAAAAGAGAAATAAAATGCTAGACAATCTAAAGAAAAAACTGAAATCTAAGAAGAATACATTGAAAAATGAAGATGAAAAGATAGGCAAATTCAACAGAGTTAAGACATTTTCCTCCCTTGGCAGAGACAAAGACTCTTTTGATACTCCCAAAGTAGTCGAAGAAATTGTGAACCAAATAGAAAATATTGTTAGCTCCGGCACGCAAAGTCCAGAGCTGGCAGCCAGCTCCCATAGCTTGCCGCATCTTAGCGATGAAAACATATATAGAATCAAAGAAGAAATTTACAAAATATTAGAGCAAAGAGTGGAAGATGGACCAATGAAGACAAACACGTCGCACCTTTCTAGAAATATACTTCCAGAGAGCGACTTGTGGAAACAGACAAAAGAAGAGACAGATGGAATTGTGTGCGAAAAGATGGGTCTATACAAGATGCTCGAATATACCAATGAAAACAATAAAGAGAACTGCTCCAATTTGCCCAGCATAGAAGGAAAAGATGTGAGAACGCAATTGGAAATATTACTCGGAAAAGAGTATCCTATGCTTTTTGGAGTTAGTTATGAAGATGAAGTAACTGGATATCTGTTTAGCCATAATGTGCTTCAGGAAATGGAGGCATGTGCTATCATATACAGCAAAACAATTGAGAAGATAAAGGAACTGGGTGAAATCATTGATAAGAGGCTTTTTGATTTCGCAGTTTTTCGAGCCTTGAGTAGAGTCATGCCATACAGCATATACAACAGTAATCTAGACCTTTTTCACCAAGTGTTTTACCAAATTGTTGCAAAGGAAAGCACAAAGGAATTCGATAGAGTTTTTAAAGCTGGTAGAATCAGAGTAATAAGACATTTCAATGAGCTGGAAGAGAAGATGAAAAGCTTTCGAAATAAAGTAGAAGAATATAAAAAACAAAGATCTAGCAAAGAAGGCACAGAAGAAATCAAAAGAATTGCTATGAAGTATCTGCATGACTGCACAAACTTTCTTGAGATACTATTTGATTACAGAAGGGGAAATAGTGACCTTTCAGATTATAGAAGAAATCGAAACACTTGCGTAGACAATGTAGATGACTATTCCTTGCTAGGCCCCTCGATCATGGATGAAATTTTAGCTCTGCTTCTCCAGATATCTGAAGAAAAGAGTGCCTCCTGGGATTTGAAAGACTGGGACCCGAAGGAACTATCTGACAGTAATTTTGTCTCGCCTGAAGAGCTACTAGTTGTACTAGGCGCGAATGTACTAGTGGCAGAGGGCACAACAATGAAAAAAAAGTTCTTAAAGGCTTTAGTGGAGCTAAGAAAAAAACAAAACTATTTCTGTAAAAGGAGAAAATACGCTGAGATGCTTGTAAAAGAGGAAAAGAAGTCCTCTCCAGCAGCTGAAAAGCCTACTATGCAGGTGGATTTAGGCAAAGCTGAGGATTCAAAAGATTACAAAGCTGACAACTATCCTGATCCTAATGAAGAAGGGAGAACATTAGGAAGTAAGTCAATAATATCTAGTATTTACTACCTCGAAGCAGAAGAGAAAATGGGCCTTCTATTTTTAGATAAGCCTAAATATTCAAGCACAGTTGTTCCTCAGAAAGTAATGGACAAAGCCTCTTATAAGCATCTCCAGAAACTAATCAAACGCTTTCTGTTTGACTGGCTCAACAGCTACTACATGCACACCATACCAGCGATTTTCGAAACAGTTTCGAAGGAAGCCAAGGCGCACTTAGGAGAAGTCGCAGGATCTGGCTTTGCAAATGAAACCAAATTTATGGAAAATCTCAGCATTTTGGAAGAGTACATAAGCACAGCAACAAAACATTATAGTGGCGAGAAAACAAGAATAATAAAAAAAATACAGAAAATGTGTACCACGCTGAAAGATCCATCCCTTCCTGCATACTACAGCATTTACATGTCTGATGTTTTTGATAAAAAAGATAAAAAAGATAAAACAAAAAGCAAAGACATATGTCTGAGATTCTTGCGCCACAGTCTACTTTGTCTAACGTTCCACAGAACAAACATTGCTCTTCTAATGAACAATCTTTTCCAAAACCTCAAAACTACACCTAGTGTATACAGTGACTATGCCAGTTACACCACACCCAGGGGTATGGTGGTAGATGGTGCAGTGTTGTCTAAACCTGCTCGTATCAGAGATAGCAGTCCTTCTACAGATAAGGATCAGAGTAAAGCAGAAAAAGAAAGCCCCTCTAAGTCTAAAGAAAAAGATAACTTAATGCTATATATGAATGAAAATGGTATTTGTGAGCTACCTGCCCTGCATATCATCGAAATACTAATCGGAGACCAGTTAGAAGATCCTATGTTAAAAAAAAGCTATATGCCGTTAGCTAAGCGCATAGAAGGCAAATTGAACTGTGACGATGCCAAAAAGCTTAACTTTTTCCAGTCATTATTAAATCGGTTATCAAAAAACGAAAATGCAGAGAATTATGAAAAAATTAAATCCGACTGCATTGAGCTAATACATCATATGTCCGCCGGCCACAAAAGAAATCTGTACAAATCTTACACATCAAGAAAAAGTAAAGAGAAAGAGGAAAAAGATTTAATTGGCTAGCTGTGCCATTTTACTGCAGTCTAACACAGATGTGTACAATCTAAGGGATAGTATGCCATTCCGCCTACAGCAAGGATTCTAATAAATACTATTCTCAATTTTTTTATTTCAGAGCACTAAAGAAGGGTAATGTACAATAATAAAATTTTAGAACTATAAAGTGTTGGCCAGTTTTACACTGTGCTAAAGAATGGGCAAACATCTGTCTCCATTCCTTCTCCCATCTCCTTTCTAGCCATACTGTATAGAACATGCAAAATATGCCACTATTCTGCAATCATCCCCATCATACATTTTCATCAAACATATTATTGCATTTATATATTTTTGGATTTTTTAAGCGAACCGTAATGGACATTGTGAAGATAGCAATCTATACTATTGTTTTAGTGTGCTTCTATTTGGCCAGTACGTATGGAAAGTTCAGAAGCAAGAACGCCAGCAGAGCGTGTCTGAATTCAAATGGAAGAGAAAGACAGGGAGCATACATTATAGAAATATGCCCGCAGGTAATTGACAGCCACAGAGCGCTGGTCCCCGCAGATAGAAAAAACAGCAGCAAAAAATTTAGAAGAGCTTCTGTAAAACTGGCTGAAAGCGCTCTGAATGAAGACCCGTTTAGCTTGAATGTTACGAGATTCACCATGACTGCAGATGGAAATATTAAAAAAATAAAACTGCCTGAAGCAGGCCAAGCAGAAGGTAGCGCAGAAATACTAAAATGTTCTGCATTTATGGAAGAGAAAAAGGCATTCAGCGATATTTTGGACTTTGAGAGTGTCTTTGGCAGTTTTCTGCATGAAAGAGGAATAGACGGGATACGCGTAACCAATCCCGAAATAGCCAGCCACTTCAAAAGATGCGACAAAAGAGATAGAAGAAGATAGAAACACAACGGCAGAGATAAGGAGCAGCTTTTTCTCAAAACCATAAAAGAATAAATAACTATTTATTGGAATCTAAACTCTATTAGCCTATAGCAGGCCTCGCTAGTAGATAATATCATCAGAGAGTAGAGCTAATCTACCAATAAATCCAGTTTAAGTGATTGATAATCACTATTAAAAGAGCAGTGTATTTTCACTAGTTAAATGTATTCGAACAACATAATCATGTCTATCTACACCACTAGTAAGTTATCTCTACTCATCTACCGTTTGTGCATAGTAAGTTCTCCAATATTTAAAATAATAAAAATTGTCATTAAGCTGTAATGTTATTGTAAAGGTATGGATAAAAATAAAATAAATAAATTTATACACTTTGAAAAAACAGCAAAGTAAGCATTCGTAGCAGAGCCAGAAAACACAAACTAGCAGCGCTTCTAAATTAGAACAATACACTCCATCTAGTGCTGCAGAAAGTGTGGAGCAAGAGCATTCAATAAGCTAAGCAAGGCTGTAGCACTCATAAGACATTAGCACAGAGAATAGGCTTACATTCATTTACTCACATCCCATAACTAAACATCAGTGCATTATGCTATTCCCATTAGAAAATGAATACAAACTAACTCTTGCCACAGGCGGCCTATGCCCTCAAAGTATCCACTATTAGCAAATAGATGTCTACTCTAAGAAACACAAATGCTCTTGCTAGAATTCCCTTATTACTCTTTCACTACTCTTTCACTACTCTCTCAGCACTCTCTCAGCACTCTTCTACCTGTAGAGAGCCGGTCTCTTTGTACGTGCGTCGATATGGCCGAGTGGTCTAAGGCGGTTGATTAGAAATCAGTTGGGTTTACCCGCGCAGGTTCGAATCCTGCTGTCGACGATTTTTTGTCCTGCCTGTCTGTACTGCATATAAACAAAAAAGAAAAGCGCCACCTAGTGCTGTGTCAGTGTGGCCGAGTGGTTAAGGCGGTTGACTTGAAATCAGTTGGGTTTACCCGCACAGGTTCGAATCCTGTCGCTGACGATTTTTTGCCCTTCCTATCCCTGTATCTACTGAAGCCTTCCGCCCTCTATTTTTGTGTCGATATGGCCGAGTGGTTAAGGCGGTTGATTCGAAATCAACTGGGTTTACCCGCGCAGGTTCGAATCCTGCTGTCGACGCTTTTTGCTCTGACATCCATCTCTTATAAAGTGTTATTTATTTATTATTCTCTTCTACCTCTACTGTTTCCTCATTGCCTGCTCCATTCTCTGCAGTTTCTCTGCGTATTCTTTGTCGTCCTTTCGCTTCTTCAGAGTGTGCTCTCTTGACTCTGTCTTGGCTCTGGCCCGGGCCTCTCTTATCTTCTTCCTTTCGCTGCCTCTGCCTCCTCTGATAGCCCCACTTCGTGACTTGAATGCAGGCTCTAGCTCTTTAAACTCCTTCCGCTCCACTTCAATCCTCGGTGCTCTGCTTATCTCCACGCCGAGTACCTCTTTTATGCACTGTTTATCGCTATCCACTACAATATCTCCAAGATTTTCGATAAAATACGTTAGAAACTCTCCCGATACGAACAGCCCAGCACCGCGTCTTTCTTTGTAAATGGAGAGTAAGCACTCCAGAGCCTCTTTGATGAGGCTGTCGTACTGGTTGAGCTGGCTTATCGTCAGCAGCGCATACACCTTATGGTACGTCTTAACGCCGTCTGTGCTCATTTTTCTTTTAACTTTGTTAAGTGTATTCGCACACTTGGAGTAGCTCATGTCCATACCAATAAAATATTTTATGCTTTTTTAATATTCGCTTCTCTGCTACTTACAGAAATAGTAATCTATGTATCACTGAGTGTGCTTTAAGATCTAGACAAACACAGATTCTAATGATATGCACTAGATTGTAGGAATAGATAAAGAAAGATAGAGATAAATATTTTAGATTGCCATCAGTTTTATTGACTACAGTCTGTTTCTATTTTCAACTGTTGTTGCACTGACTATCTGCACGCCCATCTTCATTCCGTCGAAGAGATCTACGCACTTCTCTGCTAGCTCTAGGGTGGGCAGCTCCATGTAAATTATGCCCTTGAACTCTTCTCTTTTGATCTTGTCGTAGACCATTAGCACGTGGTCGGTGTGTATGTTGTTGTTTCTTAGTATCTCTCTTATCTGGTGCTTTTCTGTTTCTAACGGAATGTTTGATAATTTTACACTGGTGGGCGTGAAGACAAATGATGGCTGGTAGAGGGCAGGCTCTTCCTTTGCTTTCTGCTCCACTTTCTTCTCTGGACACTGCGATGGAAGATGCGACTCTTTCTTGCAGATAGTGCAGAGGTGTTCTTCTGGTTTTTCGTTCTTGCTTTCTTCTCTATAATAAAAACGGGTGTTTGCAGTTAGTATCTTCTGCGAAGTGCTGTCAACGCCTTCGCTCTTTATTCTCATTTTCAGCCTTCTTTCAATGGCACTCCAGTTCGGCTCATATTTAAATATTTCCATGCGAAAACTTTTAATTATTTTTTAGTTATACTTTCTGTTCTATTCTGCTGTCGTACACCATTCAATGAACAATTTTAATTTTGCTCGAGTATTCTAAAAATAAAACAGAAATACTCACAGACACACCAGCAAACTGCATAGATAAAAGGTATAATATACTAGCATATAATGCGCAAAAACAAAACAAATTTAATGAGTGATTGACACATCCAGTCATTCTGTGCATGTTTACATCTTTATAATCTCAGCAGTACCTATAAATATTTGATGAGTTTTATGTAACAACGGGAAATAGCCTGAGATAACCGCTATCCAACTTGGGCTTACTTGAAGACTTTCTATCACCTCAAGAAGCACTGTGCGAAGATACTGTAGCAATTATTACTAGATTGCAAGAACATCAGTACTTCAACAACAGACTCATTGGAGTTTATTCTCGGACTATTCTGCGGCTGTAAAGATGGCTAGCAATCATTATGATCAGCGAGAAAACTATTTAAAGAGTTTGAATTTCAATAAATAAAAAATTGTTCTTCTTGGTCCTAGAGGAAAAACAATCCTACCTATGTTTGGCATCTGTTCTGCTGTTTGTTTAGCAGAGATAAACACAGAGATATTCGCAGTGAATAAGCAGCACAGAAGATGCCATTAAAAGATAACACTATCTGTGGTATTTCCAATACTTTATTAATATTTAATGGTTTTATCTTATCTTTTAAACAGTGGCTATCTACTATAATCTTTTGTCAGAGAGACTGAGCCTGGAGACTTTCCCAGAGCTATTGTGTTCGACACTTTACACGTTGAGTCAACGAACATGTAGCAAAAGTGGGGCTTGACCCAGATGTTCGAGGTGCTGTGCGATGCTCCTATGTAGATCACTGGAGGTATCTTGAACAGCGCATTTACAGACGGATTCTTCTGCACAAAGGGCGGCTTTATTTTGAACATTGTAAGAGTTTTTATTTTCTCCAGCTCTTCTGCGTTTATTAGAGACCCTACATTCTTCAGCTCTTCGCTTTCTGCTATGCTGCACATTTCTATCTCTGAGTCGTGCACGCCAGGTATTTTCCAGTCCCCTGGGAGGTTTCTTGCGTCCTGCAGGTCTGTGTGCTTGTCTTCACTCGGCCCTGCGTGGATGAAGCAGCATCTTTTGCCGTATGTGCACTCTCCAAAGGTTGTGTATGTTTTGCAGAGCTCTGTCTTGTACCTGGGATGCCTTTCAATGTCCCGCAGCTCGTTGAGAGAGTGCGCAAACTGGCACTTGTCTCCGTATGTACAGAAGTTGCTGTTTTCAAAGCTCTTGCAGATCTCGGTTTTGTAGAGTGAGATTTTTTTCTTCGATATGATCTTTTTAGATCGCTTTCTCTCTTTCTGGTCGCACTCCTGGACCTCTTCGTATTCACTTGTGTTTACCTGAATGTTCAATAGCTCTCTTCTCTCCATCTGAAAGCCTTCTGTTTAATTTTAATTGCTTTTTGTGTTTGCTTTATAAACTCTTATTTTAATTTACACATTTCTCAATCTAATTGCATTTAATATATTTTATGAAAGGTGAAATCAGAACAAACAAAATACTCCAAGGCATATCAGACAACTACCTCCTCATAAGCAAAAGAATAGACAGCGCTCTCTGGAGCCCTTCTGATTTTGCAGAGAACCAGGCTTTTATTGTGGACTGCATGCAGAGCTACAGCACAAACATAAAATATAAGGGAAAGTACGCGTTCATTCGGGTGCTGCATGCACAGGAGATCTGCTCTTCTCTGTTCTCTCTTTTTTCAGCCATCTCAGCTGCTCTTTGTCTTTTTTTTGTTGCAAAGATGGAAAGTAAGCGCACAAGGAAGGATTCTTCCACCAGTAGCCCAAATGCTCAAAAAGTTGCAAAGTATTTTCACTTTTTAAAGTGCGTTCTGGCTCTGCACTCTGCCACCTGGCTGGGCAGCTGTGTATTCCACATCAGAGACTGCTATGCAACGCAGTGCTTAGACTACTTTGGAGCTATCCTGAGCATTTCATCAACTATTTTTCTCTCCATAAAAAGACTGTCTATCTCTGCAGATGCAGCCCAGTATTTTCTCTCAGTATTTGTAGCATGCCATATTCTGTACATGCACTTCATTCACTTTGACTTTCTCTACAATGCAGCCATCTGCGGTGTGCTATTTGGCGTCAATGTCGGTCTCTGGACTCTCTGGTACATGCGCATAAAAAGCGCAGTGTACAGCAGGCTCCTTAAGATAAGCATTTTCGGGATGGTTTCTGCTGCATGTTTTCAGATAGTTGATTTTGGCCCTGTATACTTCATACTAGACTCGCACGCTCTGTGGCACATTCTCGGCTGGATTTTCAGCTGTTCATTGCATCTTTTCATTGCAATAGATGCAAACTCTCTCCTAAAAGACTTCAGTGCTTTTGCATAAACTATTTTGTTTAGCTCCAAGAGAAAGAAAGACAGAGAGCAATACGGGATAATTTGTGTAAGCATTGGCAATTCTTTCCAGACAAAGAGATGCCATATCTAGGCTTAAAAGCACAGCACCTGAATGTATACCATCCTATGTATTAATAAATAGTCTAGTGTCTTACTATTTTCAGAGATTTTCAGCTTAGTGGATGTTCTATGCGTATATCTGCCACTAGATCTACAGCAGATGCTAGTACACCAAGAGTAGATACTAGCTTTTTGATGCGCATAAGCCTACTCTCGAATACTATAACTTATCCACAGTGATCGAGCAAACATTGGAAGATCGCAGAATTATTCTAGTATAGTGTCTGCCAGGCACTGCAATAAAGTAGAAAAGAACAGTATAAAGGTACATCATCCTCTTTATTCCACAGCTGCACTCTGTACCAATGCAGTGCATAGAATACTGCATGAATACACTCGAAAAATCACCATTAAAATATTTGCAATATTCTGCTCTTCCACGGCCTTGTGTTTCTGTGCTTCTTCTCTCTCCGCACGGGCTGGTGCTCTAGTAAGCACTCTTTCTTCCGAGCAGCCAGAGCTCCTGCTCCCCACACACGCATGGTGATTAGCAATTTGTCCCAATGCGGAAGAAGCCATAAGGATTGGTCTAATTTCAAATAGATTTGCAAATTAATTACAAAAAGACGAAGAACCAGGTCCTTGGAATCCTATAAATGCCCTTATTTGACTATATTGCCACTTATAAAGATATAAATAGGCGAAAACTCAAAGAAAACCAATGAGATACCTTCCTTTGATTTGTCTAATTAGCAAGACAATCACATGCCTATCCACGCAAGGGCAGGTGAATGTCGTCACAGTCAATGGAGCAGAAAACCTTTCAAGCCCCTCAGCAGTCTGCACTCAAATGGGCATGCAGCCGTACTTCCTCCAGGCACAGGATGTGAACACGGTCCTCGCATCAATGAAAGCAGCAGGCGTCCAGAGAGCAAACATTGCAGGATGGAATGACGAGAAGATCGACATGGTAATAGGCACATCCGCAGGAGAAGTCACTCCCCTCGATCACAACAACAAAACCAACAGTGTTCTTTGCTTGTCAGGAGGAGCATCTGCGTCCACAACAGTTTCCAACACCGGGCCATCAAGACCCGCAGAAACTCCTTGCTCCTCTGCAGGATCTCCTGTAGCCCCAGGCCCAGTGAGACCCTCATGCCCCGCTGTGCCAGCTGCAGGATGCTGCGCAGTAGAAAAAGAGTGCAAAGCTCCCTGCGTAGAGATCAAAGGCAACGTGTGCCCCACAGTCTGCTGCAAGCCAACAAAATGCGTCGTAAAAAGAAGACCCACTCCCTGCGACTCGCCATGTGTTGCCAACTACCCCCACAAGAAAGTCTACGTAATTGACGAGCTCTCTCTCTTCTGCGGGCCCTTCATCAGAATAGTTGAGACAAGATGCAGACCATTCGCAAGAGACACCATTTGGACAATCTCCAAGGCACTTCCCTACCACATTGGACAGATTGGCGTTCCATCAATGCTCAGAAGCGCTGAGTACCTGCACAAAATTCTGTGCGAAGCCAGATCCAAGTTCAGCGCGTGCGGATGTGTGTGCTTGTTCATTGATCACTTCAATAATGTCTTTATTGCAGTTGGTGATGACTACTACCAGGTCATCCCTAACGGACAGTGCATGCCATGCAGACCATTCCCCAACCCATGGGGGCCATTCCCAAGAGGCCCAGGCCCAGTGATTCCAGGCATGCCCTTCCCAGGATTCTGCCCACCAAGATGCCCACCAATGTGTCCACCAATGTGCCCACCAGCAGGAAGAAACTGCTCGCCATGTGCTCCTAAGGTGAAGTGCGCCCCTAAGAATGGAACTGATGGATGCGGAAAACCATGCCCACCATGCTTCACGTTCTGCAAGATCTCATGCGAGCGTATGGTCCAGATCAGAAGAAGAGGTCTTTACGCAGTTCTTTTCTCCACACATCTTGAGTTATACTAGATGGTATCAGTTGTAATAAAGTGAATAGTCTTTTATTTGTTTTTGCAAACTTTTTGTTCCTGCGCTCTTGCATTTCAGCACTTCTCTTATTCAGTAGAACATTTGCACATTGGACAGAGGTGAATAATGTGCTGCATGGAGAGCATAGGAGATAGTGCTGGGTAGTTGGTGTGTGTTAAACAGGATATTAATCGTCAGCAGATGAAGAGCTAGTGCATGAGTCTATCACTGTTATGCGTGTTTGTGTCTGGCAATTCAGTGTGTTTAAATTGGAACAGAAAGATGGATGATTATACGGATATTTTTGAGTGGGTGGGTGCAAGGAGTGTAAATACACTGAATAGACAGAGATATTTTTATTAGTTGGGATGTGATTGAAAGTAATTAGATGTACCTCTTTATTACTCTGATGTATTTATGCTCTGTAGACTCCTAATGATGGTGCACATCTTAGGAGAATATAAGTGTCAGAGTCTATACACAGAAATAGATATGTAAAAATAGGTAAACCACTAATCAGATCTATCTGTAAAGACACTGTATCGATAATTCTTCAGTAAATAGCTAATTAGTCTAAGATTAGAGTGCTTGTGCTCAGTGTAAGGATGATCATAAGGAGGGTTTGCAGTTAATTTGGAGATAGTTCTGGATAGCTAAGAAGAGATTGCAATCAGTCTCTCTTCTACTGCACACCATCAGTGCGGTGGCTTTGGTTGAAAGCTTGAAATGTTTTGAAAATAATGAAAAACACTAAGCTCATTGTGGTAAGCAATAGGCTCCCACTGAAAGCAAAAAAAGAAGAGGGAAAGTACACATACACAAAAACATCAGGAGGCCTTGTAACAGGGCTCAGCGGCGCGCAGGACTCTCTCAACTTCACATGGATGGGCACTTTGGAGGGCGTGGAGCCTGCAGACCAGGAGACAGTGAAAAAAGAGTGCATAGAAATGTACAACTATCACCCAATCTTTATAGAGGATGGTTTGTACGACAAATACTACAACAATCTGTGCAATGGAATGCTGTGGCCTATTCTCCACTCTTTCTCAGACCTGGCGTCTTTCAGTGCGGAGGACTATATCGCGTATAAAAAAGTAAATGCACAATTTGCAGAAGAAATAGCTAAAACACTGAATGATGGAGATATGGTCTGGGTGCACGACTACCACCTGATGCTCCTTCCTGAGATGATTAGGAAAAGAGTGTCTAGTGGAAAGATCAAAATAGGATACTTCCTCCACATTCCATTCCCGAGCTACAGCATACTCAAAGGATCGCCCATCCTCTATCCGCTGATCAGAGGAATACTTGGCTCTGATCTGGTGGCTTTCCACACATTCGAGTATCTTTCCAATTTTGCAAATGCCTGCGAGATATGCCCAATAGAAGAGTCAGAGTCTCCGCTAAGCATAAAAATAGATGGAAGGTCTGTCAAGCTGGAAGCCCTCCCCATAGGAATCGATCCCCTTGCCTTCCAAACAGAGTCAATGAAGAAAATGACGAAAGACAGAGGAAGACAGCTGAAGGAGAGATTTGGGAATAAAAAAATAATTCTTGGAATTGACAGGGTGGACTACATCAAAGGAATCCCGCACAGAATAAAGGCTTTTTCTAAGCTGCTGGAAGATAATCCAGAGTTATCTAAGAAAGTGGTATTTTGCCAGGTAGGTGTTCCCAGTCGGACAGACGTCACAGCATATGCCACTCTTTCGGATGTTCTCTGCAGACTCAGCGGATCTCTTAACTCATCCGGCAGAATTGAGGATACATCGGTGTATTTTATAAATAACACGATCTCATTTATGGAGCTGTGTGCGCTCTACTCTGTCTCTGATGTGTGTGCTATTTCTTCATTGAGAGACGGGATGAACCTTGTTGCGCTGGAGTTTGTAGCGTGCATGGGGAGCGGAGTGCTTGTGATGAGTGACTATGCAGGAGCAGCTGGAATGCTGACGCGTTCTGTCTATGCCAACCCCTGGGACATAAGAGAGCTGTCAGAAGCGTACAAAATCGCGCTGGAAATGCCAGAGGATGATAGAATATCACGAAAAACAGAGATGCAGAAGATAGTATCAGCCTTCACAGCAGAACACTGGGCGAACAGGTTTATATCCATACTATCAAAAGAATAAAGACCGATAGTTTTAAACAATCTAGCTGCTTTATGTCCTAAAAGGGAAATGTTCTTCTGTAGCCTTCTTTTCTATTTTCACCTTACACTTATCTTACCCAGTGAAATTATTTTAATTTGCCACTCCTGCACCTCTACTGCTGTGCGTAGTTACAATGCCGTGCACTAGAGCTATCCTTTGCTACTGATCGCAGTATTTTGCTTAATTTCTTGTGCACTGCTGATCTCGCTCTTTTAGTTGCCCTATTTACTCATATTTAGTTTTTCTTTTTCAAGTTTTTCGCACTTGGTTTGTTTGGTGTTTTTATTTTTAGCAATTTATACTTGATTTTCTGGGTTTATATTTGTGTTGGTTTATTTTATTTTAAATGAGAGGATTCATTGTTTTACTTATGCTCAGTGCTATCTACGGATTTATAGAGCAGTACAAGCCAAATGCTCCGATAATTGTGGTTAAGGAGCTGAAGAACGCCACGGTGACTCTTTCGGATGTCAAGGTGTATCTCAGATCGAACGAAAATGAAAAATGGGCAGAGCCCAAAGACTATTTCAACAGGATGGATAATGACAGTACATACTCCTCCTCAGACTACCACAGAGAAATTAGAGCAGAAATGAGTGTCTTTGAGTCGCCCACGAGAGAGTGGAAGTCCTTGACAAAAGTAGGCGTTGACGCATACACTTCTAAAAACACGCAGCAAGGCCACAAAGTAAATTTTTTGTGGACTTCCACCAATGAGAACTACTACATGTTCCTGTTCAGAGTGTTTTTGGATCCAAATCCTGGCGTAGAGGTGGGAATTGACGTGGTGACCTACGAGGGAAGGCCTGAAGACCCAAGCATCTACTCGCACACAGACTCGCAGATAAGAAATAAGGAGAAGAGAATAGCAGAGTGCATCAATGTATCAAAAGAAATACTCGATCTGCAGGACCTGGACAAAACAGACGAGCAGAAATACAAGAAACTTACGGACGGAATATTCCAGGTGATTTTGCTGGCTGTGTTTTTAAAGATAGGAGTTTTTATTGGATCGTTCTTGTTTATCAACAGAAAAATTCAGCAGTTTTATATTGATAAGAAGATTGTTGTTAAAAGCTAAATAAAAAGCCATCTTTTTACTTTTGAGTCTCTATCCCTACACAAAGGAAGGAGCCACTGTTATCCCCAGAGACTTGAAAAGATTTTCTGTTTTTTCCTGGACTTTTTCGTTTCCATTTTCCTCGTTCTCTCCAGCTGCTGTGCTCTCTGACACTGTGTACATCTGGACGGGAAGAGAGCTACTTTTATCCAGCGATGACAAGATGGGCCCTAGAGAGAGCTTGTCAGGGTAGCCTAAGTATTTGCTTGGAGACAGAATGGTCATAGTGGTCTGTTTTGGCTTCTCTCCTATGTCTATTTCGAAGATGCAATTTGCTCTTTCGTCCTTCCACAAGTATTCTCTCAGCAGAGTGCCTTCCAGCCACTCTTCTTTTATCTTGCCGTTAATTGACAGATTGCATCCTGTGCTGATCCCAAATGACCGAATTCTTGTTTTTTCTCTGTCAAATATTTCTGCGTCAACTGTCAGGTCTTTGTTCTCTCCAAAGACTGCAATGTAGTTCAGAGTGGGAAGGCCTGAGATCTCTTCCACTGCGAGCCTAGTAAACGCTTTCTCCCCTATCAGCACGAGACTCTCCAGGTACAGGAACGGCGTAAGTCCGTACTGCTTCAAATTCTGGAGATCGTTATTTCTCAAAACGTGTGTTCGAGCGGCTCTGAAGAAACAGTGCTGCAAAAGTCTGTTGATCATTCCTTCAGAGCAATTTTCCACCGTTATGGTCTTTATTGTCGCAATGTGCGCATGATCATCCACCAAATCAGTTCCATCTTCTATCACAAACCGAGAGAGCGTGAGAGTGCTAATATTTGCAGATATTTCTGAAACAAATACGTCTATTGTTTTATCCATCAGCGAGAACAGGTACGAGGCCTCGTGGAAAACCAAGTCAACTTTGTTCAATTTTTTCAAGCTGTCTGCAAAATTGGAAATGCGCATGTGCGAGAGAACCAAAGTGTTCTGCGCATCTTTTCTGCTATCACTGGAGAATATCTTCTCTATCTCTGAAAGGACGTTTACTATGGGGCCGTCTGCGTCTGGGTGCTCAGCTATTCCTTTTCCGCGTATCTCAAATCCCTTGAGGTTTTTGAACACACTCCAGTTGTAAGAAGCCAGAAGATCTTTCTCTGAATAGGTCTCCAGATCAATCGTAAGAGAGACAACTCTTGATGCACACTCTGTGAATAAACTGTCTGAAATAGCATCCATCTTATCTGTGAATAAGTGCTGGTTGTGCTTTAGCAAGAAATTGGCAATGTCTACGTTTTCCGAACTTTTTACGGGTTGCAAATCTTTTATGTCCATTTTCATTTTCATTTCTTCGTCAAGAGTAAGCCCCCATATGTGAATTTTGGAAAACGATACGCACTCCAAAGAATTCACTAATCTCAGCTTCGAATCTCCAGGAGATTGCCCAGAGGCTGCAGCATCAGTCTGTTTATCTGCTTCCTGTGCTTCATCTTTTTCTTTAGACTGTGCATCTGTTTTCTCGTTTTCTTTTGCTTTTTCTTCTGGCTCTGCATTGATGGCTGGTGTGGATTTCTTATCTTCATCAGATTTGCTTTCAGTTTCACTGCTTGCTGTGGGCTCTTTATCTGTACTCTTATGTTCGTCTTCTAACACTGCATCTTGCTCTGTTTTTTTATCACCAGGCTGTTTGTTCTGTTCAGTCTGCGCATCATCACTTGGCACTTTTTCATTTTCCTGAATAGACTTTGCTGGGCCACCATCTTGTGCTGTACTATTTTCTCTGTGATTGGTGGGCTCTGTGCCATTCTTTTTTTCTGTTTGGTCACCTTGCTGTTCATCACTGGGCTTTGGTTCAGCACTGGACTCATGGACAGGATCTGATTGGGCACCTTTTTTATCCTCGGATTTTGACGAGCCATTGGACTCAGATGAGCTGCCAGATTCTGGTGTTTTATTTGCTTCTTGGCTAGATTCTGATTTGCTCTCTTTGTCTTCAGTTTTTGATAAATCATTTGTCTCTTCTTTAGATTTAGGCTCAGATTCTGGTTTTCTGGACTCAGGTTGATTGGCTGTCTCATGATCTGACTTTGATGACTCATTTGTTTCTTGTTTAGGCTCAGGTTCTGATTTTCTTTCTTCATCTTTAGCCTTTGGTGAGTCATTTGTTTTAGACTCAGATTGAGATTGACTGGTTGTCTCATGATCAGACTTTAACGAACTGTCATCACCATTACTAAGCTCAGATCGTAGTTGGCTAGCTGCATCATGATCAGTCTTTGCTGAATCATCTTTTTTAGCCTTAGGCTCTGGCTGTGTTTGGCTCGATGTTCCATTCCCTGTCTCTGATAAGCTGTCACTATCAGTTTTAGACTCAGCTTCAGACTGTCTAGACGGCTCCATGACACTCTTCTGCACTGGACTTTGAGCAGCTTCACTTTCTGATGCTTTATGCTGTCCAGACTTCTCTTTGTCATTTTCTTGTGCTGTGCTATTTTTTTTCATTTGAGCATGACTAGAGACTAAAGTATCTTCATCATCCTCACTCCCATCAGCAGAGGCATACCGTACGTCTTCCTTACTTTTCTCTTTTTTCGCGCTTAGATCTTCGTTTTTCTTTTGTTCTGGCTCTTTTTCGCTGCTCTTTCCATCTGATTGGTCCACATCTTCTGATTTACCGCTTGGCTGCATGCTTGCGTTCTTTGGCTCTTTGTTCTGCTGTTTGTGCACATTTTCTGGCTTTTCTGCTTTGGTTGTGCTCTCATCAGAGTCATAGCTTGAATCAGATGACTTTCCCATCTGCTGTTTATTGCTACTTTTGCTGGGCGCGTGCATTGCTGCATCTCTCTTACTATCAGAGGATGCCCTAGTTGGAGAAGTTTTCGCATTCTTATTGTCTGTGCTTTTTTCCTCGCCGTGCGAATAGCTGCTATAGAATGGATCAGAATCAGAGACATCTTTGTGATTCTGTGCTTTCTTTTTTTCCGCTGCTTTCTCTTCCTTTGCAACAGGCTCTGGTCCTTTAAACCCTTTCACCACCAGCTGGTTCTCCAGCAGTTCAATCTCGTTTTTCCTTTTTGAGATAGCATCCAACAGCTGTTTCTCGTAGACAGCTGGCTCCAGGGTTTCACTTGCGTCCGCTCTTATCACCAACAAATAAATACATATAAGCATCATCACTTTTCTTTTTGCATATGCTTTTAGCTCTTTGTTTCTCATGCTCCAGCAGCCTCTGGTTCATTTATAGTGGGAATTTAGTAAACCAATAGAAACAAAAACCAATCATTTTTGACTTCAAAAACTGCGCTTGATAGTTTATATTATAGATTTATTTTTCTTCTACTTTTATCTATTTATCTATTCAATCACAAAAGTTCTGTGCTTCTTCTTTCCTTCTTTCTCTTCCTTTTTTGGCTCTTTTGGCCGGGCAGCAGGCAGTTTGATTTCAAGGTTGGAAACATGGATGGGCTTTACCACAGCCTGTCCTGGCTTGTTGTTCCATGCCGACTTAGTGAGCGCCGATGACCAGCTGAGCTTTACATTCGCAGGAGGCTTGGGAGCCTCTGGTATTTTTGCACAGGACTCCTCCACGCTCTTTGGCTCCTCTTTCTTTGTCTGCGCTGTTTGTTTTTGTTCTTTTTCCTTTTTGGGCTCCATCTTAATCGGTGCAAACTCAATTGCTCTTTTGATTTTTGGAAAGTTTTTCTTTATGTCTTCTGTTCTGTCTGGCAGTAAATACGTCGATATTCTTTCTATAAACTCAACTGTTTTTTTATCCCCCAGTAGCTCTCGAATTCTAGCAGCGTACTCGTCCAGTTCGATTGCCAGCTCGTCATACTCTGCTGTTAGCTTTGCCACTTCGTCTGGTGATGCATAGTTTCTCTTGATGAGGTTTGTGTATTTGCTCTTCATATCTCTGCTTCTCAGGAGCTCGCTTCTATTCAAGTGCTTTGGAGGCTCTGGTGCAGCTTCCTCTTCTGGCGGAGTGACTGGCTTTTTTTCCGTTATTTTTCTATTGGCTTGTGATGGTCCCTGTATTCTGATTTTGTGCTCTTTTTTTGTCGGATGCAGCGATGCTTTGTGTGCAGCCAGCTCTACCTCGTCTATAAACGCATAGCACCGTGCGTCCAGACACATTCTTTCACTGCACGTGTAGTGCACTTTCTTGAAATGATTTTCAAGCTCGGAGTAGTTTTTGTAGTATTCGTTCTTTTTCCCCAGCCTTTCGCAGAGATAGCACAGCTCGTGCGCCTTCCTGCAGTGCTTAGCCAGCATGTCTGCAGTGTAGAATCTTTCTCGGCAGAACCCGCACATCGGGTGTCCGTTCCCTATTGTTTTTTCGGTTCTGTGCGCATTGAGCTCGGCTATACTGTAGATCACGTACTCAAACGGGAACTCGCACCTGTGCTCAACACACAGCTCGCAAAGGTGTCTTTTGTGCTTTGCGGAGTAGTGCTTCATCAGTGTCTGGTTGTCGTAGAACTCTGTCTTGCACAGCTGGCAGGATCTGGTCATTAGCTCTTCTATTTCATCTATTTCATCTGGGTCACAGACTATGCAGTTGGCCCAGAGATAGGAGTCTTCTGTTTGTCTAAACTTTTCGTTTTTGTTTTTTGTGACTTTAAACTTCATCTCGTCATCGCGTATTTCTCTGAGACATATAGGGCATCCTGACTTGTTGCTTATAAATTTGTATCTTAGCCCGCACTTCAAGCAGCACCTATGCCCACACTCTGTTACTATTCCTACCGTGTAGTGGTCGTAGCATATTACACATTCATCTCCATCCATAATTTGCAAATTACAGTAAAATTTTCAATTTACTATTTTATTTATAGCTCTCTTCTTTCTATCCTCTTCCTCGCATTTGTTCTTATTAGCTCTGCACTTCCTTTGCAAAGAGCTGGCTAGCATCTATCCAGCCATCTTCTACTCTATCTATATATAATCAGTCTTCTGATCA